ATCCTATAGGATTAGCAAAGAGTGTTTGATGCCACATAAAAAACAAAGGAATTGTAAAAAGAGGTTGGAGTGGATGTTAGATTTCCTATAAAATATAGTACAAAAGATTCCATAGGATAAATTCCTATGGGATCCAATCCTATGAATCAAAGGGCCGACATAGGAAAAATTCTTAAGGATTTCAATCCTCCAAAAATCCTAATAATTCCTTTGAATCAAAGGAGCCCAATTGAAGTGTGCCCTTCGCCACTCGCCAGGACGCGGAGGGCTATTGTCATAACAGTCAGATATCAAAATCCTTGAATGGCGACCTCCAATAGTCTTAGAGCGTGTTCGGGAGCCCTCCCGCTTCTCAACTCGACAACTCGTGTGGAGTGCAGCCGAACGATTCAATTTGTGGTTATGGGAGTGGGAAGCGGGCTACGAGCGAAGTGCAAAATCGGAGGAATGGCGGAGCTGGGAAAACCGAGCTCCTCTGAAATGTAGAAGCGAGAGTTGCATGGAATTACCCCCTCCTGCCACCGCCAAGTGACGCTAGGAGGTACCGGTTCGAGTGCATCCCGAAACAATCTCTATTCCCCTCGTTGCCATGGGAACCCTGGCCGCCGCCGCCATGGGAACCGGCCGCCGCCGCCGCTACCAGCTGGCCTTCGTCCTCTGTCGAACGCCGCCGCCATGACCCCGAGATCCTCTCCTGTAGCTGCAGCTTGTCGTTGCTCTCATCCCATGGCCACGACCCCGAGCTCATCTTCCCAATGACTCCTCCACCCCGCGCCTCCTACAGCTGCAGTTCGCCGCTGCTCTCACCGCATGGCTGACCCCGAGCTCCACACCCCCGCCTTCTGGTCCTGGCCTGCGTGGGTCGCCGCCGGTGGTGGTCGGGTAAAGGAGGCGGCGCCTTGGTGGTTGGTGACGAGGAGGAAGCATGGGCGGTGGTGATTTTCAGCCCAAACGGGCTCACAGGCCACCCATTATCCCATCCGACTGGGCCACAATGAGCCTAAATGGGCTTCCGGCCTGGGAGGGTCGATCGAGCGAAGAAGCTGCGCTCTCCAGGATTTTTATCGAGAAGCTGGCTGCTGGTTTGGGGCTGTGGAGTTTTGGAGTTTGAGGTTGTGGAGGGCTCCCGAATACGTCCTTACTATCCTCCTTATTTATGCATGTAAGCCAACACAAACATGAACACCACGTCTAGTGATCCCTCTACCAGCTCAAAAGGCCATTCTTTGTTTCGGACCTCTATTGGAAACCTGCCTTAGCTCGTCGATGCATCGGCTGAGACTGTTGCTCGCCAGTGCTTCTGATGGCGCCTCCATCTTTTTGGCCAATAGAAATCTTCGTCTCCGCTTCCTCCAAAAAGCTCACCGCATGTCAGCTAAGCTTCTGCAATGATGGTTATTGTGTTGCATAAAGGAAAAGTAAAATAGTTTGATAAACTTTTGGGTGCCAACAGAAGCAGATTCAACTAAATATCTTAAAGATGTGATATGAAAAACAAAGTAAATATTCATATTCTATGAAAGGTAAGTGCAATACGACTAATCTAGTAAAGTAATTTGGAATGTCGGCTTCACTAACTCTTTACCATCAACTAAATTGTGAGGAACCCATTTGTTTCACCATAAATAGAAACCAAAAAACTTTCAATCTATTAGATAAAGTAAACTGATTAGGCGGCCTAATCAAAGATGTACATCTATATCTGTTTAGGATTCATCAAAGAACACACTTGATGCGGTTAGAAATGCTATGCAAAATAAGTTAGCAACCCGCCGTAAAAGAGATGGATAATTTGATATATTATTCAGCAGAATATAATATAAATGGATGCAGTATTCAACTTTTACCAGGTCTAACTGATAAGGTTTACCATGAGACAAACCTGAATCCTTATAGCCGCAATTAAATTTTGCACAACTGAACTATAATACTGGTAAAACAACTATACCACCATAAGTATTCTACCTAAACGGTTTCAATGGAGAGAACCTATACACTCAAGGATTCCTGAAAGCAAGATGCAAGGAAAAGGACTAAAAAACTGGGGGTAATGAAAGTTCCAATGTATAAAAACTTGCCCTTCTCATGTTCTTTGGTAAACACATATCTTACTCGAGCAATAAAATCGTTCCTACAAAATCGAAGGTCTAAATCTTTTCCATTATTAGATGAACATACAAAAACTTGCCCTCGGGCAAGAAGCCAAGAACTGGTTCAGTGAACAGATAACTTCAAATAGTCAGCCATGAAAACAACAGAGAAAGGGAAGTAAGAAAATATATAATTTTTTTCTCGGGTAATTAAATTAAAAGGAAAATGATTCCACCAAAAGACAGAAGCATTGTCGTCCCACATACTTTAACAAAATAACCGTTGCCACAAGTAGCAACACAGCCAGCAATCGCACAGCAGCATGCCAACACACATATCAGGCAGGAATGCACCAAAATCAAACAAAAAAGTAGGTTTGATGTTCATGTAAACGAAAAGGGCATTTCTTGAGATTTATTATCGCATAAGGGAGAGTGTGTCTGGCGAAGAACAGGGGCGGGGTCGTCATCTTCTCCGCACATATGCACATGAAGCAGAGTGAAGCGATGGAGAACCGATAGGATAGGTCATGCTGGATCTGACAGGAGCAGGCGACGAAGACCAGCAGTGCAGCCACTGGCGGCGGAAACCTCCACACGCCCCTCCTCCTCGAGCTCTTAAACTGTGACTTCCTTGGTCGGCTCCAAACCTGCATTGAGCAGACCATCTCAGCAAAATGCAATATTGTACTCCATTAACTCAAGCAAGGAGAGAAAAAGAATATGTTCCATCAATGTTATTCTAATTTGATATTAATAAGAAATAATGTCAGAAGTACATCAGTCCTTGATTTTGTTTTCTTGGCTAGGGTCTCTTGTAGGTTGTAGTAGATGTATTAAGGAACTGAAACAAATCAAGTCTGCATTTTTGTGCTGGCTGGAGACCTACTGCTTTTGTATCTTGTTGTATACAATTCAAATGATGCAGAAATTATGAACTTGAGACTGAGACACCATGTAGTAGATTGGACATTGTTTGACATCAAACACATATTGAGGACTTACAACAATCTCTTGTGACAGGGCCACTAACAGCAATGGGGGAGTAATGCAACAGAAGTTCTATGCAAGGAGATTAATATAAATTAATATAATTATAAAAAGCAAGGCAGCTGACCTCTTTAGAGAAGGCTAATGTTTATTTCTTAACTGAGGTACTAAAACCACACAAAAACTTATAAATACTAATTCTGAAGAGTGAACAATATGAGATCAATCTCCCTAGAATTAGTACATACTACGCAATGCGTCGACAGTATATGGAAAACAAAGACATGTTCATAATTTAGAAGACAACCATGCTAGCATATTCATGAGGCAGGGAAGACAGCATATGAAATCTAAACTTGCATCATTGTACTGTTTAGGCTGTCCTTTCCCTTTTATACCACGTCTTTTGTTCAACATGTTCCTCTGCATTTTCACTTGAACAACTTTTTGTTGAACCAAAAGACAATACCACCAATGCCAATTACCAAGATGACAATAAATAAAAATTGTTAGCAACCTGTGAGAATTTAGCCAACATATTCTGTAGCTGATGGTCCATCTTTGCAAGTAAAAATTCAGAATAGAGGTGTGTCTTTGTCAGCGGCTCGTCTAACCTGCAGAATTGTGCATCATTCTATCATTCCCTTGCTTATAGAAGCACTACTCACTGGACCACTCAACAATCACACAATTAAACTGCCCATGTAAGATTTGCCACTCAATTTAATTAGCAAGATGAGTGTCCTCAACTGAAAGTGCATATATTGGTTCAAAAGGGAAGTGTGATAACTGAATTAATCAAGTAGATATTGAGGTTAATGTACATGTGTATTCCTACCTGAGCCTCTTGTAGGATTTGGGGAAGCTTTTTGGTGAGCCACTCGTCAAAGTCCTCCTGCAATGACGGCGGTTGGGTGGAGAGGATCTGGAGGATCTTGGCCGGCATGGGGCAGCTGTTGTACTCCTCGATGAGGCGTCGTACGGCAAGAGGCCGGTCGGATCTGACCGGGGTGGATCCACTTCCGGTGGATTTGGCGTGGAGGTGGCCGGATCCAGCAAGATTGAGGGCCGGCAGCGCCATGGCCCTCATGGAGGTCCCTGTTCAGGGAGAAAGAGGGAGAGATGTGAGAGGAGATCGAGAGGAAGGAGTAGAAGGCAGAGGGGCGAGGCAACGGAGTGGCCGGAGGTCCGACGGTGAAGGTTGCCGGCGGCGGGGCGGGGCGGAGGTGTGGATCGCCGGCGACACGACTTGCGGGCACGAGAGCAGGAGGGAGCTGCGGGCGGCAGTGCAGTTCGGGCCCGGGCGGGTTTACAGGGTTATTTTTGTAAAAAGTGAAACGTCTTTTTCAAAGTGCCACTAAAACAAGGAGTGCGGGTTGATTTCACGTAAACTCAGGGGTGTTTTTGCAAAACTGCCATGATGACGGACAACCAAAAGCAATCGCTGGTTTATTAATAGGTAAAGATAAAGATAAAATAAAAGAAGCACTAAACACAAATTCCTTTTCAGTAAAGCAACTGTGAGTTAAAAGACGAAAAAAAAAGTATCAGTACGTCCGACAGGAAGGAGATCCGATTAATTTCCTCGCGAACTGAACGGATTAGGATTCAGACTAGGATTAGAGCTAGACTAGGCAGCAGTGGCCCAGGTGCATCCAAACGGATTATGCACAAGTTCACCAAGCGGATACGGGAAACAGTGTAGCCAATAGGCTGCATCCAAACGCACCCTTACAGTCCAGACAGAAGAAACAGTGTACGCCAAATGGCTAGGATTGTCAGGTAAAGATACTAGAAACATGTAAAGATACCAGAAACAGTTCAACAGTGTCCACGACTCACTCTAGACTGTTGACCAGGTCTTGGCCCATTCCTCAGACACAACTTTTCGATTAACTTTATTCAAGGCCTGTAATAAGCCTACTGGGAGGAAAGCAGAGTCGACCAAGTCACCTTCACTGACATCAACCCGAATTCAGTCTTTATCTGGTGAGTGTCAAGTCCATGTGTGTCCGCCTTGAAGGAACAACAGTGCTCCGCTGAACCGGATGGCCCCGAGGCCACCTTGAACTTCAAATCCAGAGTGGAACCATCCGCTACAGCAACCACAGACCTCTTTAAGAGGCGTGACTCGCCAATTGCACCATCGAACAGCCGGATTTCTTCGTTATAACCACCGATAAAACAACTGAAGCACAGCTCAAAACTGCTCTGCACTTCTGACACGGCAACTTCTACATTCGCCATGACTGCCCCATCAATACGTGCTACGGTTATGTCAACTGCGCCACAGTCACCATAGATGCGGTTTGTGAATGCTTGATTCCATACTCCCCACAGGTCAGCTATGCCTGATACACCATCAATCAGCTGGTGATCATCCCTTTCTGCTTTGCCTGCCTTGATCCTAATGTCAAATTCCACTAGAACAGCGCAATACATATCTATGCCTCGCTTAGGGCCAGCCATGTTGATGAGAGAACCCTACAAAATTGTTACTTTTTAGTAGCTCTTCACATGGAAGTAAGAAACATCTAAAAATATGAATACTTCTCTTAAGCTGCTTTACTTGCCACACCATTTACTTCACCGATAGTTTACAATTGATGACCAAAATATTTGCCACGTATCAAACTGATTGGTTACATAGTGCACAACAGTGCTCTTGGTGGGGAGGGGGATGGCCCTTGTATTTATTTGGTATTGTTCAGATACCAATTTTTTTACATAAGCCTATCGAGATGAAAAGGGAAAATAAAATGACTTGTAGTGATGCGATTATTCATGCTGGTGTGTTAAGTAGCAACCAAGAGCCCGAACTATTTTGTTCAGTTTTGTTTCAAATACATGATACTCACTCAGTTCCATAATTTATAAGTTTCTCATAGTAAATCACGGTATAGTAGTGGCTTATACAATCCAAACAACTATTTTGCTACTTTTGGACAGATAAGTCACATGGACACATCTTTAATGATGCAAAAGAGACTAAGACCATGTTCGGAATTCCACCGGCTCCGCGAAATCCCGGGAGCTGCGGAGCCAGGAAATAGGTGCTCCGTGTGTTTTTGAACTGTAACTCCACCAGCTCCTGGAGTGGAGTTGCGGAGTGGAGGTACTCCGAACAGGGCCCAAGTGCTTGTTGTTCTAGGCATGCGCTAGGATTGGTCTTACAATGTGAAGTAAATGAATTTGACATAAATCAGGTATTTGATCCCCCTATTCCATTCCGTATAAATCATTCCCCAGGGGGGTTTTGCCCATGCTGCAACATCCACTTAATGTGAGAACTTCCCCAGTGGGTGATTTATACCATATGGAATACTTCAAGGGGCCAAAAACCTGATTTTATTTATACTTGAGGGGGTTAAGTACACTTGTTGCTTGAAATAATTGCAGGTAAGTATGGGTTGGCACCTGTTTCACGATGACAGGATCATCCCTGCTTATATTGACAACATAATTAAGCAATGTATCCAGACAATCCCGCACTGCTATGTATCCATACAACTCTACTGGGCCAACATCCACAGTAAGTTCAGCCAACTTTAATGAGAAAAATTGTAAGACGCGACTAGGATTATGCCGCTTGCATTTTCCGTTGCGGAAGACGCAATCTTTGGGATCTGCCAACCGAGCTTCATAAAATAAACAAGTTAAATTGTAATGGAGATTTAAGAGGGCAGGCCTGGCGCAGTGGTGAAGTCCTCCCCACTTGTGCCAAGAGGTCCTGGGTTCGAACCAGCCTCTCTGCATTGCACTTTGCAGGGGTAAGACTAGGTTCCTATAATCCCTCCCCAGACCCCACCTTGTGTGGGAGCTTCTATGCACTGGGTCTGTCCTTTTTTTTAAAAATTGTAATGGAGATCAATATAGGAAACAAATAGTCATCATATGAAAAGTAAGCATGTCACTTGAGGATTCCATGGCCCTAATGGATGTTTTCCTTTTCATCTAAGTGGAAATTATTGGTGTTCTTTTTACTAGGAATTCTAATCCCTCAAAAGTTTTTGTTTTAGGAAACTCAAAGAAAAAGCGGGTAACATATAAGCGGGTAACATATCATCACGTCAGTAAGTAAAGGTCCCTTTTACTCTGCCAGATTATTTCACAACCCCCTAAACTATTTATTGGTTACATTTACCCAAAGATTTACTAAAACATGTCAATTCAACCCTTAATGAAAATATTATTTTGTTTCATTTCTAGAAGTCCTCTTGTAAGATGGTTTTTTATTCTTTGCAATCAAAGGTAACATCATACCCATACCCATAATAATAATAATATATTCCTAATTTTCTATCTTGTATAGTTGGGAGCAACTAAACCTATTTTAGCACTCATGATAGAAAAATACGTGCTAAAAAACTGAGTGAACATATTTTTATAGGGTAGGGCATGGTGACATCAAACAAGATAAAAATCATTATGCAGTGAATTGAACACAATCCTCTTTTGCAAAACATAACAAATGTAACCCCAGAATGCAATGCGTTGACATTTAACTATCAAAAGTAATGAATAAAGTAAAGAAAATTAGCCACAAGATGTCAACATAGAACACATCAATTGACCCTATTGCTTGGAAAAGGTGCTCATAACAAATTGAAATAGGTAACGAGATATTGATCACTTACTCTCACTACGGTCATCAACAGCATAGTTCTTTTTCCACGCATGAGTGCTTCTGTATATAGAACCATCACGGTGTGTGCTTTTTGGAAGCAATTCCATGGGGAATACTTTGTCACCGCTTGCTATCAATGCGCTCTTTGTATCCTTGGTTGCACTCCTTCCGTTTTCATCTATAACTTCCAAGGTTGTGCCACTCGTCTCTACATTTTTCGTGCCTTGGCTGATGACAGAATGATAGTTGGCAGAAGAGATGAGCAATCGCTTGTCTTCAAGTCCACTGTTGCTGGACATGCTCCGAGATCCTGGAGGAAATCTATCACCAAAGAGAATAAAGAGCAAATTTGAGCAGCCGACACATTTTTTAATTATTTTTCGGTTCCCCCCTTTCCCCTGGGATTAACTATAAGACCCCCACCCCTGCCTTATTTTACCAAAATCAACACATGAAGAGTAATTAAAAACCCACAGTTGGTCAGAATCCAGATCCAAAGGTCAGAATCCAGATCCAAAACTATAGCAACTAACTAAAGGCGCAAACTTTGGCATCAGATGATCAAAACATACCGGGAAATACGACGGACAAGTAGATCGGGAGCCATGAGAGGGAAAACTCGTGGTGCAAGCGGTGGTGGCGACCAGCAAGGCGGCGCAGAGGCCGTGAAAGAGAGGAGAGGTCGCGAGGTAGAGGAGAGGCGGAGCATTGGGCCATGAAAGGTGGCGACGCCAGGTCGGAGGAGGCGAAAAATCTGGCAGAGGATCGGCATCTCAGCGCGCCGCGGCGGGAGAGATGGGGTGTGCCGGCGTTGAGAATGGGGAGAAGAAGTGCCTCTTTTTTTGGGGGGGAAAACGATTGGAATGGAATCAACATGGCAATAGGTACCCGCAAACCCGGCTGGTAAAACCTTATTAGGATCTGGGTATGAAAAATAAAAATACCCATGGATTTTTAAATGAAAAAGTTTGTGCCGGGTACGGGTATGGGTACGGGCACGCGAAGGCAATATCCACACCCGCGAACACATAAACCCGTATACTACTACACAATGTCAGGTAGGTCCCATGTGTCATTGACTAGATTCAGAAAAAAAAAACCTAAGTTACCAGACGCTGAGTACAACTTGTCAAGTACATTTGTTCTTGTCTGCCTCCTCGTGCCTCCAGCCACCTTCAAAAGGAAAAATGCGTGGGTGCCATGACGATTACAAGGTGGGACATGGTCATGGCCGGGTCTTCCCTATGAAACATCCGGCTACTCCTATCAGGAACGCATGTGCTCTGCCAATGACAAGGGCGGAGCATGACAAGCGTCTAATTTGGTGAATAATTTTGCACCCCACACATAACACTTTTTTTGAATTTCTATGATGCATGAATGTGTTGATAATTGGTCTATTGACGAATGTGTATGATGAATGAACTATTTGAATGTTTCCATGATTGTTTAGTCAACTTTGAACATGCTGAAATATAAATACCAAGACAGGTATTTTTATCCGCGGGCATTACCCATACACAGTCGGGTACGGGTATGGGAACAATTTGAAACCCGAGGTGTGGGTACGGGTATGGGTTTGGGCAGAAAATATTGGGACGGGTGCGGGTTTAGGCACGCATTACCCATACCCATACCCTACGGGTGCCATGTTGAGAATGGATCGAACCGACGCATAGGCGCTCAGTGCTAGGCGCCGTCGGCGCGCCGGCCTAATTTTTCGGTTGGTCAGCCCAAAGTCGGTCAATCTACACACACAGCCGTCAGATCTTTCCCCGTCCTCAACCTCCGGCACGGGGGAAGGGAGAGGAAGGAGACCGCCGCCCCCACAAGCGTCGACCGCCTCCTCGTCTTCCTTCACCGCTGGTCGCCGCCTACGTCTTGTTGACTCCACGCATGTAACTACGTGTGGTGGCTGCTCCAGTGGCCACAGCGGCAGCTCGCCGCCGAGCTCCATGGTTGCAGCACCCCCGATGCGTCGTCATCACCCCCTTGCCATCGAAACTCATTGCATGGGGTTACGTGAAGAGTCGATGTTGTTCATCGATGTAGCAGAAAAAACGCTGGTCATAGCAAAAAATGATGGTTGCAGCAATTCGTTGTCATCGTCGTCGCGAGTCGCGACTCCACCATGATGGATATAGCAAATCCAATGACAGTTGCTACAATTCATCTCGCCGCCTTCACCGGTCGCAACTCCACCATGATGGATGTAGCAAAATCCCTCGCCAGTAGTAGCAAAATCTGAGGACAGTTGCAACAAAAAAAGGCACCGCCGTAGTAGATCGCAGCTCCGCCGTGATGGATGCAGCAAATCCGTCGTCGCTAGTAGCAAAAAAACTCGGCCCTTTCTAGCAAAGTTCTTGTCGTAGGTTGCCTCATTTATTTTGCTTCTCCATCATCGTCGTTGATTTGGGGATTGCAACTTTTTTGCACCACGGTTCCAGCACCTTCAGCAGGGGGTGCAACTTTTCTGCACTCCTCACCGGCTGGTAGAGCAGAGTTGCAATATCTCACGGGCCACGGTTCCAGCTTTTCCCATGAATGGTTCCAACAAAAAATCACTGCAGGTTGCAGCTCCCCCGCCGCCCTGATTGAGCGCAGTCGCACGCGAGCACTTCACCATCAGTGAGAGAGCTTGTGGAGATTGCGAGCGGCGTGGGGGGAGACTGTGGAGGAGCAGACCCGTGATGGTTGTGGGTGGAAGAAAGAGGAAACGAGAAGAGTAGGAAAGGATAAGGGATAATGAAGGGGGTCGGTCACGCGGGACCCACCATGTACACGCGTCTCGCGCGGGGCGGTTGTTCCATGGTGTGTGAGCCGGAGGAAAGTTTGGTCGGCTTGCTGCTACTTCTTGAGCTTGCGTTGGTTTTTCCCTTGAAGAGAAAAGGATGATGCAGCAAAGTAGAGATAAGTATTTCCCTCGGTTAGAGAACCAAGGTATCAATCTAGTAGGAGAAAACACACAAAACACCAATACATGCACAAACAATCAAACAACTTGCACCCAATGCGATAAAGGGGTTGTCAATCCCTTCACGGTCACTTGCAAAAGTGAGATCTGATAAAGATTGATAAAATTAAACAAAAAATAACGTAATTTTTTTTGGGTTTTTTTGGATTTATAGATCGGAAAGTAAAAGATTGCAAAATAGTAGATCGGAAACTAATATGATGGAAAATAGACCCGGGGGCCATAGGTTTCACTAGAGGCTTCTCTCAAGATAACAAATATTACGATGGGTGAACAAATTTCTGTCGAGCAATTGATAGAAAAGCACAAAGTTATGACGATATCTAAGGCAATGATTATGAAATATACGCATCACGTCCGTGTCAAGTAGACCGAAACTATTCTACATCTACTACTATTACTCCACACAACGACCGACTCCTGCCTGCATCTAGAGTATTAAGTTCATGAAACAGAGTAACGCATTAAGTAAGATGACATGATGTAGAGGAATAAACTCAAGCAATACGATGTAAAATCCATCTTTTTATTCTGGATGGCAACAATACAATACGTGCCTTGCTGCCCCTACTGTCACTGGGAAAGGACACCGCAAGATTGAACCCAAAGCCAAGCACTTCTCCCATTGCAATAAAAACCAATCTAATTGGCCAAACTAAACCGATGTTCGAAGAGAATTACAAAGATATCAAATCATGCATATAAGAACCCAAAGAAGATTCAAATAATATTCATAGATAAGCTGAGCATAAATCCATAATTCATCAGATCTCGACGAACACACCGTAAAAGAAGATTACGTCGGATGGATCTCCAAGAACATTGAGAAGGACATGATATTGAGAATCAAAGAGAGAGAAGAAGCCATCTAGCTACTAGCTATGGACCCGTAGTTTTGAGGTAAACTACTCACGCTTCATAAGAAGGGTAATAGAGTTGATGTAGATGCCCTCCGTGATCGAATCCCCCTCCGGCAGGATGTCGAAAAAGGCCCCAAGATGGGATCTCACGGGAATAGAAGGTTGCGGCGGTGGAAAAGTGTTTTCGTGGATGCCTCTGGTGGTTTGGGAATATACGTGAATATATAGGAGGAAGATCTAGGTCAGGGGGTCACCAAGGGGCACACAAGGTAGGGGGCGCACCCTACCCCCTGGGCGCGCCCTCCATCCTTGTGGCCGCCTCGTGGCTCTTCTGACTTGCACTCCAACTCTTCTGGGTGTCTTCTGGTCCAAGAAAAATCATCACGAAGGTTTTATTCCGTTTGGACTCCGTTTGGTATTCCTTTTCCGCGAAGCTCAAAAACAAGGAAAAAACAGAAACTAGCACTGGGCTCTAGGTTAATAAGTTAGTCCCAAAAATAATATAGAATAGCATATTAATGCATATAAAACATCCAAAACAAATAATATAATAGCATGGAACAGTAAAAAATTATAGATACATTGGAGACGTATCAAGCATCCCCAAGCTTAATTCCTGCTCGTCCTCGAGTAAGTAAATGATAAAAACAGAATTTTTGATGTGGAATGTGTTGGAAATATGCCCTAGAGGCAATAATAAATTGGTTATTATTATATTTCCTTGTTCATGATAATCGTTTATTATCCATGCTATAATTTTATTGATAGGAAACTCAAATACATGTGTGGATACATAAACAACACCATGTCCCTAGTAAGCCTCTAGTTGACTAGCTCGTTGATCAATAGATGGTTACGGTTTCCTGACCATGGACATTGGATGTCGTTGATAACGGGATCACATCATTAGGAGAATCATGTGATGGACAAGACCCAATCCTAAGCCTAGCACAAAGATCGTGTAGTTCGTATGCTAAAGCTTTTCTAATGTCGAGTATCATTTCCTTAGACCATGAGATTGTGCAACTCCCGGATACCGTAGGAATGCTTTGGGTGTGCCAAACGTCACAACGTAACTGGGTGGCTATAAAGGTACACTACAGGTATCTCCGAAAGTGTCTGTTGGGTTGGCACGAATCGAGACTGGGATTTGTCACTCCGTGTGACGGAGAGGTATCTCTGGGCCCACTCGGTAGGACATCATCATAATGTGCACAATGTGATCAAGGAGTTGATCACGGGATGATGTGTTACGGAATGAGTAAAGAGACTTGCCGGTAATGAGATTGAACAAGGTATAGGGATACCGATGATCGAATCTCGGGCAAGTACAATACCACTAGACAAAGGGAATTGTATACGGGATTGATCGAATCCTCGATATCATGGTTCATCCGATGAGATCATCGTGGAACATGTGGGAGCCAACATGGGTATCCAGATCCCGCTGTTGGTTATTGACCGGAGAACGTCTCGGTCATGTCTGCATGATTCCCGAACCCGTAGGGTCTACACACTTAAGGTTCGATGACGCTAGGGTTATAAAGGAAGTTTGTATGTGGTTACCGAATGTTGTTCGGAGTCCCGGATGAGATCCCGGACGTCATGAGGAGTTCCGGAATGGTCCGAAGGTAAAGATTTATATATGGAAAGTCATCATACGGTCACCGGAATAATTCGGGGGTTGCCGGTATTGTACCGGGTCCACCGGGAGGGTCCACCTGTCCCGGAGGGCCCTATGGGCTGTATGTGGAGAGGGACCAGCCCCTTAGTGGGCTGGGCGCCTTCCCCCCCTAGGGCCCATGCGCCTAAGGGTTTGGGGAACCCTAAAGGGGGGGCGGCCCCTTGCCTTGGGGGGCAAGGCACCCCCTCCTGGCCGCCGCCCCCTCCTCAGATGGGATCTGAGGGGGCCGGCCCCCCTCTCCCTTGCCCCTATAT